TTTTTTTTAAGAAAAATAGTTAAGGGGCTGAGCAGTGCTAGTTGGGTGGCTGTGAATGGCTTGGCAGCAGCAATCCCTCATTGGCCCCTGAGCAGGAGGAATCTTTYACTCCTGTGGAAACATAAGCATCAATAATCACTGCTGTTATCCTTGATCAGGCATCAGCTGCTCTCAAAACCAAACTAGGAGAGCTGTGCTGCAGGCAGATAAGGGATAGAGAGGATAGTCCATGGATATGGCTCCAAAGAGTAGAGATTTCCGTGGACATGCGTGTMTCCAAGCATGGATGAGGTCGTGCCAGCAGATTTGATCCCACCAGCTCTCTCTTTCCAAGGAATAATTAATATTCCCCAAAGCAAGGGCAGGGACCAGGTGCCTGGTGAGCAGTGCATCCACCAGACTCGTTTCACTCCTTTTTTCTCCCATCCTCCCACGTTTCTGCAGGTGTCAAAATGGTTTAATATTTTAGGTGTGAGCACAGGCAAGCCGTGTCTGCTCCTGAGAGAGGCAAGGGAAGCTTCTGGTGCTGCAGGCTGGGGTTTTAGTCAAATGAAGCAGTAATGTCATTATCTGTGTTTCATCTACCGCTTCCCCAGTCAGGCTCAATTGTGCTAATCACTGCAGAAACRGGTGACAAGGAGCTTACAATCCAACCTGCTTCACGTCAGGAAAGCACAGACCTCCAGCATCACCTGGGGARAAGGAAAGATGCTCCTGTGAGGGCCTCTCACGTGTGCCCAGCATCACCCGATGGCCAGCTTGGATCCTTTTAGCCAGGAGGATAAATGGGACAAATAACTGTTCTTTTTGGATGAGGACATTTGGGGAACAGAATACATTTCCCTTCATCGCACTAAATTATACAGAGTCAAGCAAGCAAAGTGATTCTTTTTTTTTCCCCCAAAGCTCTTCTCTTCCTCTAATTACATTTGAAATGTTTTGCATGCTATTGAAAATGTCACTTCCAGCTGCAGACCATTAAGGAGCCCATGTGGCACTGCCATGGGTTTTATTAAGGCAGGTTTGTTGCCGGGGATTTCAGTGGCAGCAAAAACGAGGCCTGGGGTGAAATACCTTTTGTTACAAATGTTGAACACTTGTTTTGGTGGTAGGGGACCTTTCACAAAGGCACAGCGCTCGCCAAATTATTTTAAAGACCAAGGCCTGAATAATTGGGYAGGAACTACTCAGATATGTGCTGTTTCTTCCCTTCTGCCCCAAAGCACTAATGGAGGGAGATGCTGTGCTCCTGGTTTGTGCTGAGGTCACTGCAGAAATTTGTGTAGCTGATGTTTTTTCCTGAGCCCTTGTTTTCCTGGTGCTGCTGTTTGAGGACATTAACAGGTCTGCTGTGGTTTTTCTGCACCCAAAACTCTCAGAGTGGACCAGGATCAGGGGCAGTGTGCAGGGTGAAGGCTGGTGAGCCATTGCTGCAGATCCTCCTGCTCTTCCTTGCAGCCAGGCTGTGTGAGCAGTGGTCAGCTTTGGGAAAGTTCTTTCACCCTGCTGCATTCACCCTGCTATGCCTTTCTGGCTCCTCTTTCTCCTCTTTCACTGATGCTGCTCCATGAASCTGCTTGGGCTGAGGATTTGGTGACTCTGGGGCTGGAGTTCCTTTCCTATTATTGCTTGGTTGCTGTAGTGTCTCTGAGCCCAAATTCACAGGGGAACACGAGGGGCAAATGGGGCAATACCCTGAAAACAGGATTTCATGACCTGAAAAKTAGTTCTGCAAATATGATTTGTTGTCCTTCTGCTGCCATGATCCTCAGCCCAGCAGAGGGACAGTCTCACATTCAGACTCTGTGCATCACTGGCCTTTGCATTTKCTCTTTTTCCAGACCAATGCAGAAAGGAATTTAATATATACTTTCCCAGTCTGAAACAAGAGAAAAAACAATACATTTTCTGGTAGTGCAGGATGGTTTTTTTTAAGACACAAACCAACCCTCCCATTTCTACATCAGCTTTTAAATGGTGTTTAATGTTGTGGCAATGAAACCCTTGWTGTGACTCCACTCCTGGCACCATGGGACAGGGACGGGGGGAGATAAGCTGCTCAGGATATATCCAGTACAGCCCTCACCTGGGGTGAGCTGTTTCTCCAAGAAATGAAAAGCATTTTGGGATCCTTGTACAGGTCTCCTAATGTAATTTCAGTCACTAACAATCAGGAATGAAAATGAGAAAAAGGCAAGTGCTAGTGAGAGGGAAGAGAAATGTTTTCTCTTTAAAGCAGATGGGAGGATGTTTGGGGGCAGTTGTACCATTTTTCTAAGGCTGTCCATCCTGCTCCTTGATTTATGTACTCCTGTGCTATAATGGACACCCTGTTGGCATTTGCTTTTCAGTGTTGATCCCTGACAGAACTCAGCACTTGCTCTTTAAATAGCCCAGAGCTGATAAAAGCATCTTTGTGGGGAGGAGCTGGCTTTGTCCTCAACTCCAAAATCTGCAGCAGAGTCTGGTCTGTCCCATCTCCACCCCYGATAAAAGAGCAGGATTTTGTCACTCCCTGGTCAGGGTGGCTGCTGGCACCAGGCTGGAGAGGAGGGAGGAGGGCACGTACATCTCACCCAGGCTCTTTCCTGGTGCTGCTGCTCAGCTCTGATCCTGACCCCATCATCCTGTGGCAGCAGGGCTGAGATCAACCATTTATTCCATCCTGGTGTGCAGCCGCTGACGTCTCTCACTGGAGAAGGAAGGCATGTTTCCTCTCTTTCATGCTGTACTGCTGTCACTGRAGTTTTGATGGAAGCAGAGCAGCCTCCTGAATATTCTGCAGAGATGTTCATTGAACTTAAATGGAAAAGATCCTACCAAAAGATTAACAGCTGACACTGACAGCGTGCACAGAACAAATTTCCAAAACAGCCCCAAAGAGCAAGATGCTCCGGTTAAATCACTGTGGGAGCCCTGGAGAACTTCACAGACTCACAGAAACACAGAATGGCTCAGGTTTAAAGCTCATCCAGTGCCACCCCTGCCATGGACAGGGTCACCTYCCACTGTCCCAGGCTGCTCCCAGCCCCAATGTCCAGCCTGGTCTTGGGCACTGCCAGGGATCCAGGGGCAGCCACAGCTGCTCTGGGCACCCTGTAAAAGTGAAGCAGATGAAACCAAAGACTTCTCACCAGTGTCCAGTGACAAACTGAAATACAGGGAATTCCACTTAAAATGAGGAAAAAAAGCTTTTTTTTTCTTTGCACAGGTAGTTGAACTCTGGCACAGGCCACCCAGAGAGGTTGTGGAATCTTTACCCTTGGAGATATTAAAAACCTGGCCAGATACAGCCCTGAGGAACCTCCWTTAGTTGAATTGCTCTGAGCAAGARGTTCTACAGGTGAACCTTCCAGCAACAATGATTTTGTGGTTCTGTGCCCCTGAAATTTAAGGRGTGAATGATGTCTTTGGTTACGGTCTGCGCTTTGTAGTGCACAGTTTGATTTCCTAACTTGGAGAAGGCTCAGGAAGCCAAAATACAGAACAGCAATGGCTGTGAGGCTGGTAAAGAACTGCCAACACATGGTGTGGASGCTCACAGTCCACAGGAGAAAGGCAACTTGTTGACATTACTYAAAAATGTGCCATCATTTTCTATTCAAGGATAATGAGGATTAATTTTTGCAAATGAAGGAAATAGGCACACGAGCAGCGAATTCCTGGAAGAGCAGGAGCTGTTTAATCTCTCCAGGATRTACATAATAAGTCAGCAGAGATGTCTCATCATGAACATAACCTTTTTTTGTCTGACTAATAGCAGGACTTGTAAGTAAAACTGTCAGAACCTCCCGTCCCTGCCGAGGTCAGCAAGTGCTTTTGTGATTTTAATGAAGAAATCGGAAAAATGCTCTCAAATGCTGTTTTCTTCATTCTCATGCTGCTTTTCCAGTGGGGAAAAAAACGAGCAAAACAAAGAGAGTAGCAAGCTAAAAGGGTGTTGTGGCTTCTCAGAAGGCCCCAAGGGAAGTTTTGAGTTGTTTGGCCATCCCTGCTGGAGCATCCATCACTTCAGTCTGTGCTGTTTTCACACCCAGTCCCTGCACTCGGGAACTCTCCCTGGTTCCTTGGCCAGGAAGGGTGGTTTTTTTGCATCTGCTCGCTGGCAGGGCCAAAGGAACGAGGTTTACTTTGCATTCTGACTCCAAATCCAAAGAGGAGRCCTCAGARCCCCTGCCAGTGCTTGTAAGAAAGATGGGGACAAACATTTTAACAGGGCGATGAGGGGCAGTTTGAAATCAGAACTGGGACAATTTAGATACACAAAGGAAGATATTCTTTACAATGAGGGTGGGGAGRSCCTGGCACAGRGTGCCCAGAGCAGCTGTGGCTGCCCCTGGATCCCTGGCAGTGTCCAAARCCAGGYTGGACAGGGYTTGGAACACCATGGGACAGTGGAAGGTRTCCCTYCCCATAGCAGGAGRGTTGATCTTTAAAGGTCCTTTCCCACATGAACCATTCTGTGATTTCCAGCAACAGCATGGAACTGCAAGGGAGATGTACCTCAGCTCCTCACTCAAGTTATGTGCTAACATCAAAACAGTTTTTGTTTTTGTTGTTTTACTAGGAATCGCACCAGGCTGGCACTTGGAATATATCGACGTGATAGACTCTGCCATGGACAAGACATTTCGCTTCCAGTGTGACCGCTGGCTGGCGAAAAGTGAAGATGATGGGCAGCTCATCAGGGAGCTGGCTTGTGCCAATAACGACATCCTGGAACTGAAGGAACGGACTGGTGAGTGTGGAGTGGTCTTGTGTGGGTTTTTGAGGAGCCTCAGGATCACATCTCCTGCAAGATGAAGGTTCCCATGCTGCTTTAGGGATTATTTCATATACACCTCAGTTTATTAGTGCAGTGATGTGATAAGCAAGAAACAAAACAGGATTTGTGAGGAAGAAAAAGATCTCATTCTGGGTTGAAACCTAAAGGGGCCCATATGCGGTGGTTCAGTCCATCATTAAAGCCATGAGAGCTCATGAATATGATCTCATTAGAAGTAATGTGCTTGAGTCCTTGAGGTGGAAAATAAATTCAATCCTCAAAGCCTGGTAAGTAACATTGCTCCAGCTTCCTCCTTAACTTGTTCTGGACTACCAGCTTAAGTATGAACATGACAGCTGAGCCCAACAGCCCATGGCCCTCAGTCTGCTCTGGGTRACGCCACTGGGCCAAAGGAAATTGCACTGGTGTCTGATGGGGTGGGTGATCCAGCCAACAAGAGCCACTTCACCACCCTGGTGATATGCAAAGTCCGTATCAACAACTGCTGCACCAACGCTCTGCTCCAGGAGAGTGCTGGAGACACAATAATCACATCACTTCACTGTGATCTCGCTCTGACCCTGAAAAAAACCAGCCTTGTGATGGCCATTCTGGGTATTTACAGATCATCACAGTGTCTTAGCATGCCCTGTTGGGTACATGGACACCCTTCCTCTGCTAGGAACAGTGGCAGAAAAAAAAAAAAAATCAGAGAAAGTGGAGGATTTGGGCTGTGCTTCAGATTAAATGCTTAGCACAGTGAGGAGCTGGACACAGCTTGTTCAAGACAGACTTCAATCATTCCTATGGGTCCCTCCAACTCAGAATATTCTATTATTCTAAGAATAACTCCATCTATTCTTGCTACCTGATTGAGCAGGACTCACATTTTTCATGTATTCTCTCCCAAAGCATCTAGAATTCACAAGTCCCACAGATTACAGTGTGTTTCCACCCTTATTTTGCAAATGCTCGCTGTCTTGTGTTCTGTGATAAATATTAAGAAAAAGGATTTTAACCAAAGTGACAGCCAAATGAAGAGATCTGGCYGGCCATCTGCTCTTCCTTTTCTGTTTAACGTGTGTGTTAATTATGCTTTGAAGCCTATGAGATTGTCACCATAACCAGCGACAGGGAGGATGCAGATACAAARGAAAACATCTGGATCATCCTGGAAGGAAAGATGGGCCGCTCAAAGGAATTCCTGATGGAGAACTCCTCCAAGAAAAGGAGATTTGAAAGGTAGTGAGCAGGATGGTGGGCCAGAGGAACTCCCCACCAGTTGTGYGTCCTCCACAAATGCAGGATGGTTTAGGGAGCTGTGTTTGTGCTGTGCTGCTTCTCATCCYCCTTCCAAAAGGCTTGATGGCTTCYCACWTGGATTRAAGGGAAKATGTCATTAAATRAATTTCTGGTGGGCAGTCACAGAATAGGGCTGAAAACAACAAGGAAAAGGCATTTGGAAAAAGGAAATGCAGATGTTCCGTGTGTGTGTGTGCTTTTGTATCAGCACACACASAGAGGCTCCTGGCAAGCCCCCAGGGGAGACTGTGTGCTTTTTGAGCTGGGAGGAGCAGAAGGAAGCTGGGGGTGGTTTGAGTTCCTTTCACAGCGTCTCGGTGGCAGTGGGAATCAGAGAGAAAGTAATAATAGTTGGAGGCTAGATGTTGTCAGAGCTGYTCAGTGCTGACAGCGCAGACGGATCGGGGGTGAGGATGTGGGATCAGTGTCGCGTGAGGAGCGGCGGCGATCATCCTCCTGCTGGAGGCAAATCCGTGGAGCCACACTGCTCCAGGTGTCAGCAGGGTCCCCTGRTTTGTTTAAGGACACTGCACGCCCTTGGGGGACGGGGACCTCGCCAAAGTCACGGGCGCTGCTGATGTTCTGTTGCTTTTYGGGGAGGGAAGGTTTTTCTGGTAAAGGAAGGTGAAATTGTGGCCGATGTGGAATGTAACACGACTGACTGAGACATCACATGAGCTGTGAAAGATGAGGAAGAGCTTCMTCCTGCCCTTCAGCTGATGGTGTCCATGGAGGAGTTTGACACTGCTCTCCTTTAGTCACAGCCTGTCCTTGGAGGCAGTCTGGAATAGGAGCAAATCCACGGAAATAAACCTGGCAGATGCTCAGAGAACACACCACAGATCCATTCAGCAGTTTGACAAACACCTATCATGCCTGCCCATGTCAGGGRTTTGGGRCTGGATGATCTTTAGGGTCCTTTCCACCCCAAACCATTCTGAGATCCTCTGATTTAATTGTTTCTCTGAACTATTTCCAATCTGAGCTTCAGAAAGGGTGGCTGAGCTAGCAAATTTAAAACAGCTATGGTGGGTAGATGTGTAACAGATACAGTATCTGTCAAGAATGAATGAATAAGTGCTGGAGGGGAAATTAGTCATTCTTTAGCTCTATCTATAATGAGGCAAATTGATTTTGTATGTGGAACAGCTCAAGTTGATCCTAGAAAGTCCTGGTGGCAACAATTTAAAGTGTCACCCCCAATCAGAGAAAATACTAAATTTAAATATGGAAATTATACTTTGTGTTGAATGATTGTAAGTTAAATCAAATGACTGCAAATGAAGGCTTATCTCCTATCATCCATAGCCACGTGCAAATTGCTTAATGTCCACATGAGGCAAGTCCCTGGCAGCCTCCAGGACACTGAAACTGCTCCCTGTTTTCCTGTAGGGGAGCAACAGACACATTCCAGTTTTCTTCAAAGAACGTTGGGGATATTGCAGCCATCTGTGTTGGTCACTGCCCAAAAGATGGGAAGAAGTCGTCTGCAAAAGCTGATGTCTTCTGGCACGTCCAGGAGATTATCGTGACCGAGATGGAGCTCTGCAACAAGTAAGTGTCTTCTCATCTGCAAGGAGATGCTCTGGGAGGGCATGGGGGGAGCTGAGCATCCCCCTGAGGCATCTCAGGTTTAAGAAATTACAGAAAGTCTTATTTCTGATACGTGTTTTGGTGTATCAGGTCCAGAATGTCCTTGTGTGACTCAWATGTGTGATTTCTGAGTTGTTAGAGAGGGTATCTACATGTGCAGGTAGGTTTATTAAAAAGTTGGCTGTTGGGTGAATCTCAGAACCAGGACGAATTTATGTCTCACCTTACRGAAAATAATGACAGTGACTGAAATTCAAGGAGTTTGTGGGACACTCTGCATGGACTGGTCTTTAACTAAGTTGTGAAAGAGCTCCTAGAAACRTGTTGAGGGTAAGACAAAGCCTGAGCCTCTGATTCTGACCAGCTTGGGTGAGAGATTCTTCAGGTCTGGCCCAAAAGGCCACACATGGCTGGAAAGGTCACAGTCCCACAGTTCAAACACACCTGAAGAGCCCTGAWCACAGTCAGGTCACACAGATTTTGGTCTGAGCCCCATCTTTGGAAAAGGAGCAGATTCTGCAGGGACCACTCAGGAGCAGAGGAGATCATCCATTAGCAGAACAAACCGCACTTCAGTAAAAAAAAATACTACATTAATTGTGGATTTCTGCCCTTCTCCRTGATATTCCCATTGCTGGTAAAGAATTTAACTACAAGGAGTTTGTTCCAGCTGAGACAATTGAGTGTTTAAGAAGAAATCCTTGAAGTGGCTTTTCTTTTTTTTTTAGAAGCTAAGAGTCTCTCCTAGCAAATTAATCAGCYAGCTGAAGAGCCTTAATAATATTTGCTGAATGAAAACTCAGTCAATTGCATACTAAAACATGTTCTTCTCTCCTGGTGGGGAAAAGCCTGGAACCCTYGAAGTCCAGCTGTGCAATCAGATCTGAGCACTGAACTCATTGGGAGCTTGCTGAAACCACTGGGACAATGCACTGTGAAGGGGCCAAAGGTTTTTTCCATAAAGCCCCAGCTTTTTTGAGGTTGTTTTGGATTAAAGAGGGCAGTCAGAAGGTGTGGGTAAAGCCTGCAGCCTGTSCTTGCACTGAAGCAGAGCTCCAGCTCTGCAGAGGCAGCACTTCACAGAGGTGTCTGCTGGGCTCACCATCAACTGGAGAGATTGAACCATGAGAACGAGTTCTCACTTCAGGTATTCCCCATCCCAAAATTAAAAAAAAAAAACTCCCCAGACAAGCTAGAGGCAAAATTAAAAGAGTTGTCAGGCTGTTGCAAAAGTCGTTTTGAATTGTACTGGGATTTTTGCCTTTTGGTAGTAGATCCTGATATGCAAAAGGATTGTATTTAAAGATTTTCCTTGCACATCCCAGGGCTACAAAGCTCATATTTTTTTTCTTTTTGCTCCTTGTGAGGGTTGTTGCCATGCACCATTATACCACCAGACCATGAGATATTACACAGTTGAAGAAATCAAACTGCTGCATCAGGAATCCCCTCCGTYACACTCTCATGCAGTTTTTCTGTCCTTGAGCCTAAAATTTTGCTCCCCCTGGAATTTCTCATCTACAAAGCTTCCTTCCAGGAACTGAGTGCTTCCCTTTGGCTGCAGAAAATGCCAAGAGTGTTGGAAGTGCTTCAGAAACACCACACAGCTGGAATCACAGTAACCCTTCCTCCAGGTGTTTATTTTACATGCACACACGCTGCGGTCCAGCCACTCTCCATTCAGGAGGACCTGCTGCAGCTCAGTGAAGGCAGAGGGGAGAGAGAAAAGCTGGTTTGGAAGTGATCTGCATCACTGGAAATGGAATACATCATTAAAAGCAGAGTGCTCCAGCCCCTGGCTGAGCGCCAGGTACGAGGTGATTTATGGATGTCCTCGGTGTTCCCCGCACACCACCRGAGACAGCGCCGCAGAGACGAGGGCTGTCGGCATCTGGGACCTATCAGCTCTGTGTTCTGACATTTTTTTCCCCCCTGCTAAGGATGACATGGATGATCTAGAAAGGAAAAGGGAGATTTAAACCTCCTCCATCTTTCCCATTCCTTTTTTTACATCTTTTCCCTGTGTTAGCTGTGGGTCTGACTGCTCATGCTGCCTCAGTGGGTCTGTAACTGGACACGCCATGGCACAGGTTAAAAGGGTGAAAAAAAGCCCCAAACTGACCCTTCCCACSTGTGGTGTGTCTGCAGCTGCGTGGGGAGATGTCAGATTTTCCAGCTGCAAGGTTACATCGTGGCTGTCTTTCTGGAGAGAGATTCTAGTACAGGCACAGGGAAAATTGCTGGAACAGCACCAATTTTGTGCAGTTGAGTGGAATGAACAGTCCATAACTTGCTAGTTCTGTGTTKGCACCAATAATGTGGCCACAGCCCCAGGACAGTGTCCATCCCCTGTGCTGGCACTGCTGGGGCACCTCCAGCCCTGGGGACAGCTCTGAGCCCCTCAGGACAGGAGGGACATTGAGGGGCTGGAGCGTGTCCAGGGCAGGGAACGGAGCTGGGGAAGGGTCTGGAGCCCCAGGAGKGGCTGAGGGAGCTGGGAAAGGGGCTCAGCCTGGAGCAAAGGAGGCTCCGGGGGGACCTTGTGGCTCTGCACAACTCCCTGACAGGAGGGGACAGCCGGGGGGGTCGGGCTCTGCTCCAGGGAACAGGGACAGGAGGAGAGGGAACGGCCTCAGGTGAGGTTCAGGTTGGGTATTGGGGAAAAYTCCTTCATGGAAAAGGTTGTCCAGCTGCCCAGAACAGGGTTGGAGYCCCCTGGACAGATCCTGGGGGATCTCTGGATGGGTTTAAAATGTGGATGTGTCACTTGGGGACACAGGTCAGTGGTGGTCTGGGCAGCGCTGGGATAACAGTTTGACTCAATGAGCTCAAAAGGCTTTTTCACCCTAAACAACCCCGTGATTCTCCGACCCTTTCCYCCCAAAGCAGCCACCCACACCACTGACCCTCTGCTTCCCATGGCAGGTACTACTTCAGGTGCAACGTGAAAATCCCTCTGCGGTACAAGAGGCGAGACTACAAAGTCTTYGAGTGTGCCAAGGTCACCGAGAGCTTCGCCAGCAAAGCGCGGAGCCTGGTGCCGGTCAAGTACGAGACCATCGTGGTCACGGGCTTCGAGAAGGGCGCGGGCACCGACGCCAACGTCTTCATCACCATCTACGGCCTCAACGGGGACTCGGGAAAGCGGGCACTGAAGCAGAAGTTCCGGAACCTCTTCGAGCGTGGACAAACCGACAGGTTCTACCTGGAAACGCTGGACATGGGGGAGCTGAGGAAGGTCCGGATCGAGCACGACAACACCGGGCTGGCCCCGGGCTGGCTGGTGGAGCGCGTGGAGATCACCAACTCGGCCACTGGGGTCACCACCATATTTCCCTGCGGGAGGTGGCTGGATGAAAACCGGGGGGATGGCTTGATCTGTAGGGACCTTTTTCCTAGGAACTGAGAAGGGTTCAGTTCATGCATTTTTTGGTCCCTTCAGTGCACGCATTTTTGTCTCACTGTACTGTTTTATATGGCATTTTACTTTTTAAAGCGCTGCCTTTTGTACTGAGAGATTTTTAGTAGCAAGACGCTCYTCCTGGGTTAACGTTTTGTAAAAGKAATACYGCTTTTTTTTAAAGTGCACATAAACCTGTGAATTAAATAAATGCATTTGTTGCTTACTTATGATTAMAAGCTATGACCAGAGGGGATATAAACTACCCTTTACCAGTTCAGATGTTTCTGTGCTGTGCTTTTCTGTGCTGTGCCTTGCCAGGGTTGAGAAAACCCCCTGACCTACACAGATCATGGGCTCCACTTTAAGAAGAGCATGGAGGCCAAGAGAATTGAGACCATTTTATTTAAGAAAATTGAGCTAGGAGTTCCCACTTTTTCCCATTTCTGGCAAATGTGAGCTCTTCAGATCCATACCCACACATGCACATTTCCAGAAAGCACCACATGGAACACAGCAGGCACAGTAGGACTTTTTGCAGGGAGTTTGGGAAGGATTTACATGCACCCAGCCTGGTCTCAAGCAGTGGGATCTGGGTGGTATTTCCCCCCCACGGGCTTTCCCTCCCCAGGGCAGCTCCCTGGCTGAATTCCTACAACTTTGCCAAGACCTATGGCCACGCCTGTCAGAGCAAAAACCTTCCAGATAATCAATCCCACAGCACGAAAGCTGTGCTAACTATATTCAAAGCTGACTCAGGATAATCTTTACCCTACATGGCCTGAATACCAGCTCCGTTTTGGAGCAGCTGCCATTCATTTTCACTTTTTTTCCCTTTAATAAGGATCGCTGTTTTGTCTTTCCCTGCAGTGGAGAAGGGATTTCCCGGAGGCAGTGAGGGYCAGAGCTCCTGTCAGCGAGCTCTGCCCAGGCACTCACATCTCTGCAGGTACCAACAAAAAAAGCTGCTCATAAATCACTGTTCCTGGAGCCCTGCCTCTCCATCCAGGGAGCAAAGCAGCAGGACTCATCCTCTGGAGGAGAAAGGTGGGTGTTGGAGCCATGAGCAGACCTTCCTCCTGGCCTTCCCTGGAGAGGACATTCCCTCTCCCAGAAGATGGTTTCAAACATGCATTTTGAATGAACAGGGATCAGATGGGTCAAGAGGGGGCTCAGCCCACTAAGCCCACCCACCCCCGCAGCTCCTGGGTTGGGGATGATGCCTCTGCTGGGATCTCATCTGGATGTGCCTGGCCACAAGGCAGGAGTGTCCTGCTCAATCCTTGGTTGCTCTTGGGCAAAGGAGGTCCCAGCAAGCACTGGTGATGCTGAGACAGGGGTTAGAAGCATCTTAGAGGTGCTGTCAGCTGCTCCTGGGTGTTTGAAAGCTGCTAACCCACCAAAGCCCTTCCAGGGAAGTTCTGCATTTCTGTTTTCCGCAGCAGGCACCACAGAAGAGACCTGAGCTTATTCATGGCTGTCTGTGCCAGCTCACAAATAATAGCTCAGGCTAATTCATTTTAGAAAYCTTTATGGTAACTGATGGTTTTGGAGCAGAGCAAGTTTCCTAAATGARCCCAGTAATCAACCTCATCAGTGATCAACTGCTCACTGAGAGGAATAATAATAGCTGTGTTCTCCCTGCTCACAGCGCACCGGTGCTGCCCAGAGCTGAGCTGGGAGCTCACAGAAAGAGCAGAACAGCCCTTAGGAGGGCTGGAGGTGATTGCTACGGTCTGATTGCATTCCTGGGACCCTGCTGGGAYAGGGCTCTGACTCCCTGGATGCCCAGGGAGTCCCATGAGTGGAGTTTGGAGCACTTGGCTTTGCTGATCTTGTGCAGTGTCACTGCAGGTCCCCAGCAGGTGTTGGAAATTAAATGAGGGTCAGGCTTTTGATCTCTCTGTATTCCCTCCCATCCAAGCCTAACCAGTGCTGTGAACAAAAAGCCCTCCTGCCAAGAGGTTTTGCCTGTTTTTGGACAAATACAGGCTGCAGTGAGACAGGAGTTTGTCCCTTCACAGCGCTGTAGTCCCAGCACTCCCAGCTGGCTCCAGCCATCCCCTTGGGGTACAGGGTGTTGGGGAGCTGCCTTCAGAGCATCACTGTAACCCCTGGCATCCCCTGGGCAAACCCACTGCACTGCCACGCTTCCATGGCCTGGCTGAATGGGGTTGGGAACAATCTGTTCCAGGTAAAGGCATCCCTGCCCATAGCAGGGGGTGAGAACTGAATCTTTGATGTCCAGCCCAAACTATTCTGTGATCCTACGATGGTTCTATTTTTCCATGATGATTCTATGATTCCATGATGGTTCTATGATTCCATGATGATTCCAGGCCTGGGGAGCAGTGAGGCAGCCCCTGACCCACACACCATCCCTTCATGGGCGAGGAAACAAAAATCCTTACTCGGCATAGGAGATGTGCTCGCGTCTGGGAGGAATCACATGTAGCAAGKGGCTGGAAACACACATTAAAGCACAGCTGAAGCAGGAATTAATATCTTCAGGGCCAGCAAATCACTGTGTAGGTGGGAGATGGGCTTGTAGGTACCTGGGCTGTCATCAAAGCCACCTGACACCCCTGGACAGGCTTGTTCACCCAAAAGCTCGAGGCAGAGCTGCTCTGGAAAGGGCCAAGGGGCAGTTTGGAGAAGAGGTCAGCACCCTCACTGCCTCTCAGGAAGGAAACCTTGGCAAAGCATGGACGAGCTCTGCTTTTTCACACTCAAGATTTCAAACAAGCTCCTTGTTAGTGCAAAGCTCAGCTCCACCCTGGCTCTGGGGAATCCCTCTGTTGCTACAACAACTAATACTGCAGAAGTAATAAGGCAAGAGTGGAGTTTTTCCAACGGCTGGACTTGCATTAAGCTGCTAAATTCAACGCAATCTTGGCCAAGTGGAGAACTAGTGAGGAGAAAAGYCAGAATTTTCCTAGTCCTGTGCCTTCTGCAGGGCTTAGTCAATCTTTTCCTGGGAGGCATGACCATCCCAAAGCCAGTATGTCAGGCAGACACAACGCTCCTTCTCCCACCACCAACCTCTACCTGGCAGCATTTTAATGCRCATTCCTTCATCCAAAAAACAATAATGTAAATGAGAAAAGCAAAAGAGCAAGAGCAAAGGACAAGATTGGTAGCAYTCAGTGTGAATCTTTAAAACCAGGCAGTCCTGTTGTATCTGTGCTCTCCACCATTTTGGGATTCTGATGAAATGCTGTTTACCAAATTAGGGATTACTAAAGCACTTGGGTGCTGCCAGTGAAAACAWGTATAATCAAGGAGTACTCAGCAGTGTTTGATGCTGAAGGACTGGTTGCCTCTTGCTGCAGGATACACAGAATTATTTCCAAATCTCTATGAAATTGTTGCTAAGCATTTTTGGTAGCATCAYATGCCTACATTAACCTTAAGTTCATGAAGGAGGAATGACTGAGAGATGCAAAGTATCTTACATTCTGCATTTAGAAAATACCATCTTCCTCACCCCTTCTTCATGTCTAGAGGTCCATTTTGAACTAGAAGAGTTAAAAAAAATTATTAATGGAGTTGTACGGCTCTAAGCTGTAACCTGTGGGCCAGCTGCAGATTTAGAAGCTACAAACCACAAATAAGAGCTGAGCTCCCCGAGCCTGGGCCGCTGCTGCGAGAGCAGATGTTGGTGGTGAATGAAGATGTTGCATCTTGGTCGGTGCTGCTGTGCAGGGATGGGCACAGCCCCTGTCCCTCCCTGGGCAGGCACAGCAGGGCTGTTATCACATCCTGGTGGTTCCTTTGCTGCTCCACTTCCCAAACAAACCCGACTGTCATCTGCAGCACCTCTCCCAGCGCCATCCCCCTTTCCAAGGACATCAGCAGGATCTCAGTGAGAAACTGGGATTTTCCCCATCTGGACCAGCGGGCCATTTTTAACCAGTTTTCTGTTTTCTGAGTTTCTAAAAGCTCCCTGTAACAAGAACTCGGTGTTGTGTGAACACGGCTCATCCTTTATGCAGTTTTTTGATGGATGCTGGAGAAGCCACCAATTCCTTCCAGCTGCAGGAACCAAATCTCTATGATCAGCAGCCACTTGTCTCTGAGGCTTATTCAGTCTAATCACACAGTCAAAGCTGGGCACCGGTCTCAGCTTTTCAGGAGCAGCAGCTGAATCAAGAGTGGGCAGGAACAGAGACCTGCACCATTCGTTGTGGGAGAAAATAAAAGCACAGGAGGATCAACATGCTGGACTTTGCAGGAGGCAAAATTGGGTGTATTGCCCATGGGGTTCTCCAACGAGTAGCAAAAGAGGTTGAAAATACCCCCAAATGTACCTGTACTAGTCTGAAGGGTTGTTTTTTGGCTTTTTCTCCCAGTTAGTTTCTTCTCCCTTAATTATTAAACTAGAGACCCACGCAGAAGGAATCCTTCTCCACCAGCAGGATGAAGAACCTGTTGGTATCTCTGCAGGTATCAGGACTTGCTAGAGGTATCTTACAGGCACCAAATGATTGTTTGGAGGGGAAATTTCTCTTTAACAGGCCAGTTTGAGATATCCTAGGACGCAGTTTCGGTACCTGATCATCAAACTGGTGCCAAGGGATGTCACGTACAGCGATGTGCCCGCTGTGGAGATCCTCACCCCACCTCTGCCGTGGGGCTCAGCCACCAGCAGCCTCTGCAAACCACACAGGCAGAGCATTTCGTACCTCAGCAGTGGTTCTTCTGCACACCAGAGACATGAGCAGTGAAAGAAGAACTGATTCCAACCCCCAAAAAACCAGAAAAGAGCAGTAAATAAAGACCAAGTGATCGCCCTGCCAGGTGGCTTCTGTGTGGCACAGGTTTATAGTTAGCAATGCAGTTTGTTTTATTAGTTATAAATAAAGTACAAAAAATCCACCAAAAGTGAATCTAAGCATTTACACAATTTCTAATGTCTTTCCATTTCTTCAATGCACTATTGCTTTAATATTAATAATAAATATTTTTCTAGCTTTCTTCTATAAAATAGTCTATGTAGCAAAATGTTGCACAGCACAACAGAACAGCAGTAGGAATACAAAAATGTGGGTGATCCTTTCACCTGCCCGGGTCATTAAAGGAGAGGGGGTTTTGTTTGCTCGCTCCTTGTTTTGCTTATCCCTCTTACAGTGACTTTGGGGGGAGGAGGACAACCAACCCCCYTGTCCCCACACAGCTCAAAATCACARCWCCAGGCTACAGGGGAGGAGTGTTACAGAGCAGCAAGGTAAAAAACACAGACAGGTTTAAAACCCAGGGTAAGGCAAAGTCAAAAAAGCAGCGCAGCACCCTGAAGGGACAGAGAGAAAAAAATTAAGGTTCTGTGATTTTGTGCCTTTTCTAACCCTAAGAGAGGATTTCACCTAAAGCTTTTTGTGGGGWGGGCAGCTACTGGCTGAGCGCATGCATCAAACCCCACTTCTGTCCGTGCACGGCCGAGTGTCCGCACTGACCATTGACCACTGTTCAAGCATRGGTATGGCTTAAAGCTTAAAATGTTATCAGAGGGTCTCTGATCTTCTGGCAAAGCTGGAACAGGTGATGCTCAGGAGCCTTGGGGAAAGAGCAGTGCATGGCAAGAGCAGCGTGGTCATGGCAGGATGGGCATGCTTGGCTGTGTCAGGGAGGGGCTGAGCTCTTCTTGGTRTCAGGAGGGCTCTGGGGCAGGTCCCAGCTCTACACTTGAGTGAAAAAAAAAMCAAACTGAGGTTTCCCCTTGTACAGGAGGGATTAAACCAGCTGGTCCAGATTAGTGTTACACACTCCTGCTCCATGGAGGTCTCAGAGCTGGGTTACAGTCAATGCTCGTGGCAGGTGTTGCAGAGATGGCAAATGGCCCCTTGTGTCCACCCCAACCAYTCTCAGCTGGACAGGACGCCACAGGATCACAGAATGGCTCGGRCTGGAAGGGACCTTAAAGCTCATCTCCTTCCAACTTCTGCCACGGGCAGGGACACCTTCCACTGTCCCAGGCTGCTCCCAGCCCCAACGTCCAACCYGGCTTTGGRMACWGCCAGGGATCCAGGGGCAGCCACARCTGCTCTGGGAAACCTGTGCCAGAGCCTTCCTAGCCTGTGAATAAAAATCTCAGCCTCTAAAAACTCCATCAAATCCCTCTGTTCCGTTGCCCCCAAGCTCAGGTTCACCCTAGTGCCTCCTTCACCCCAGCTGGGCACATGCACAGAGGGTGAAAAGGGCCAAACAGAGCACTGACAGACGCCAAAAATGACACAGAGCCACTACACTGGGGGCTTCCTTCCTCAGCTTTTTCCACAGTTTTTAAGAGTCTTGCACTAAAGGCATGCACTGCCCCAAGCACGCTGGGTGTTTTGCAAGGTCACTCAAGCAGCAGCAGCAGCAGCAGCAGCAGCAGAAAGTGTCAGGGACAGGGCAGTACCAAGGAACAACCAAAACGTTTTGGTTTATGCAGAGCGTCGCTAACCGCCTTCAATGCGCCGGGACACAGGTGAAAGGATCACCGGAGTTTGATTATGAGTGCAAATAATATTCATAATATATGTGCTAAACACAGTCACTATATTGCAGTTTTCCACTATGTCACAGCATACAGAATCAAAGGTTTGCATTTTTATGGAATGTATCCAAGGTAACAGCACCACAGTAATACAGTTTGTAATCACACACCCTGATTTTTTTYTTTTTTTTTTCTTTTTTTTTTGGTTTTTTTTTTGTATTTTTGTTCATTTTTCACAAGATAAGCATTACCCCCCACATCCCCTGTTTAATTTTTTTTTAAGTACCGATGCATGCAAAGCATTCCATTCCCAGAAACAATGCAAAAATGAGGTAATAGGAGTAATAAAAAAAATTAGTAGTAATTTCTAAATAAATAAATTATAATTAAAAATGCAAAAAAACAACTATAAAAATAATTAAATAAGAACCCACAATATCTACAAGTTAGTCATAAATTATGATTGTTAAATATAAGGCATTTAAACTCACAAAACCCTGTAAACTATTGATGTTTTGTTTCTAGATTCTTTTGTTGTTGTTGTTGTTGTTGTTTGTTTCGTTTTGTTTTGTTTTTAAACTCATCCTAACTCGCAACCTACTTATACAAATTATTTAAACGCAAAGGAACCTGACACACCGATACAACTCCAGACACTGTAAATTCGCACGCACCTTGGGATCAGTCACTCACACGAGACCATGGGAGTTTGGTGCTTTTCTTCACCAAAAAGGTTTGTTGGGTTTTTTGTTTTTGTTTTTTTTTTTTTTAAGTTTGTTCGTTTTTATTCTTTTTTTTTTAAAAACTGTGCTTGTTTATTAGGCAAATAGCAACACTTTCTCATAGGCTCCGAAAGAAAACGCGCGGTCCAGAAGCGTTCTTCGTTCCCTCCCCACCCAGCGAGGGCATCAATCCCCCGTTACTCTCCCTGCTTCGCCCCTCCAGGTCACACCTGGACAGACCAAACCTGCTCAGTGTATTTTACCACCAAAGCCTTGCTTTGCTCGTCCATGTTTTTAGTATTGTTAGTATTCTTTGTAATGCTGCTTCAATGCTGGTGGAGCCAGCCCCACAGGTATCCACGGGCCACCCCCTGACCCATKGACACCAGGGTTGGGACCACCACATCCCCCAAGAAGTCGTCACTTGTGCTGGGTGGCAAATGCATCATAAAGTCATGGAATGGTTTGGGTTGGGAGGGACCTTAAAGCTCATCTTGTTCCAAACCCCCCACCACAGGCAGGAACACCTTCCACTAGATCAGATCACTCCAATCCCCATCCAGCCTGGCCTTGAACACTCCCAGGGCTCTCTGGGAAACYTGTGCCRGKGTCTCCCSATCCTCACAGCCAAGAATTTCTTCCTTATGTCTTCCCTTTATGTCACCATGTGTCTCCCTCCACTCCATCCCACCTGCACRGGCMCAGCAAGAGAGAGGCTGCTGCACCYTCACACCCATGGGGGCTTTCCCTCYTTTTCYYCCCTCTCTCATTGRGAAAAAAAAAAGAAATCTCTGTGGTGCCTCTGAGGCTGGTGTTTTCCAGTTACAGCTCATGAGAATCTTGCAGTTTCTCAGATGAGAGTTTATGATTGAATCTATTTGGGAGAGCATTTCTCTCCAGCGAAACAGATAGACTCAGGGGAGCCAGAAATCATTCCCACCACACCAGCATTTTCAATAGATTATGTTTCTAATTCCCCTGCTGCTCCTCTGCAGCTCTTTTCTCCCCTAGTATGAAAGAAAAAAATAAAACTAAGAAGGAAAAAAAGGGAAACTGCAGGTTTTGGTTGTGAATGTTGGTTTTCCCAAGGATTTTCCGCTTGGTCCCTGCAGTTGGCATGATGAGGTCTTTTTTTTTTTTTTTTTTTCAGGAGGAGCATGGATCACAACAGCTCACTCCTTTGGGTATTACCTCTTAATTCTGTTTGGAGTGTTAATGTGATTAAGTTTCATTTTTACAGCCACTGATTACTCCACGCACACAAGCCCACGGGGGACGCGGGCGCACGCGCTCCGAGATGGGTCACAGCACAGCAAAAAGCTGCTCCCAAAAAGCAGCAACCCCAACCTCCACCCTTCCCTTCCCACTCCCAGGGGCTCATGGCCTCAGCAGCGCCTCGTGAGCATCGAGTTTTCCTCCGTCCCGTTATCAGGAGATGCTTTATCAGCGGGAGAAGAGTCGGCATTTCGTGCCTCTCCAGTGTTTTGACGCCCCAAAGAACAGCTGCAGGCGCCGAGTGCCGTGACCATCGCTTTGGAGCGGTGCTGCTGAAGCCACCCAACCACACAGCTCACGGAAGAAAGCATCACGGACAATCGCAATCGTGTAGACACAACTTCCTTGGATTTTGATATGACAAGCTACTTTGTTAAGATACAAGAAAGCAAAGAAACAGCATCTACTCAAATACTGTGCTGCTACAGAAAGTGTCCAGCACCAGCAGACAAGCAGGAACGAAGCTTTTCCCTACCGCTTCGTTCGTTTTATCCCCAATTTTTATTTTTATTAAGCTTCTCTAAATTTGCAACACACCGTAAATGCAAGGGAAAGAAGCACACGCGGCTGAGGCAAAGAGCGCAAACCCTTCTGACTGTAAACAGGATTTTGCTTTTTCTCTTCTTCCCCACCCCAAGGGTGAGACAGTTTGACCTCTTTATTCCCCCTCTGCAATGTATTAATCAGGCACCAAAATAAGGAATCTATGAAAAAATATTTGGTGCAAATTAGGTAACAGCAACATGTCCACCACAAGATGAGTAGGGCATCAAACACAACATTTCTTAAGCTAACATGCTCCAGCTGCCATCCATAGAAATAGCTAAAGGACCCCTAACATGTTTCTACATATTTGAGAGGTATATATACAATCCCCATGAAAAGCAGGATTGACAGGCCGGACTACCACAACTAGCTCCTTCATGTTCAACACTAAAAATCTTCTGCAGCACGGGTCTCTGAGCTCCGGGAATGCCAGCTCCCTTTCACTGGGCCTGTATCCTGCGTGAATGTGCAACATCTCCTACCCCTAGATATTGTATCACCACCACCTCCTCCTCTCTAACGTGCCTGCAGACTTCCCCTCTCAATCAAATGGCTCAGAAGGCAAAAAATTTCGCTGCAAGGGTTTATGGCCATACGACCTGGTAAGGAAAATGGTGTGTCCAGCCAGTCTTTTCAGCTGTCCGAGCCGAGCTGTGTTTCAATGTCCACCCTGCAGATCGGGCACTTCTTGCTGGTGGCCAGCCACTGGTCCACGCACACTTGGTGGAAGAGATGCATACAGGGCAACCGCCTGCAGAGAGAAAAACACCGCTGTTAGGAGGGAGGAGGTCCAAAGGACCAAGAAGTGCTGAAAACCAGCCTCTGGGGCTGCTTTGAGAGTGGCAAATGCTGGTGTGGGGACAGCACATCACTGCTGCAGTGCTGACAGGGTCCTGAAGCCTTTCACTGCCACACCAGCTCACACAGGGCAGTTGGCTGTAGATGCTGTTCTTCTTGGTCAAGTAGAAACCCTCACACCACCCTGAATTGAGTTGTYCCAGTTATTAATTGTGCTGGCTGCTGATTTTTAACCTTTCTGGAGCAAGGTTATACTCCAAAGCCTCTTAGCTCTTGMTGGCTGTGGCACATTGGTCAGGTGGGATCACACTATTGCCACGTGGGTGTCCCCAGGGAACYCGGTCACTTTTTTACCTCCATCACCTTTGCCATCATCATGTGCCACCCTTGTGAYACAGAGGAACCTTCAACCACAGAACCCCACAGTGAGAGGATCAGAGCTTTTCTTGACTATTTAAGGGTGAGATGCAGAGCTGGGTACTTCTCACCTGCAGTCCCTTCAGCCATGATAGCTCAGTCCTTTCCAATTTCTGTCCCTGTCCTCTGTCACAAGCAGAGATTTGACCCAGCCAACAGCCTGGGATGTCTGTCAGGGACAGCTGGGGTTCTGTTGGCTGAGGATGGTTCCCTGTGACCATGTGGGCACAGTAATCTTACTTATTCTACAACAAAGCAGCTCTGCTTGGACTCCAGCCCAGCTCTCCTGGACCTCACACTCACTCTGCATTTTATCGTACTTTCATCATCTTTTGGGCTCAGATGCTGATGACCCCAAGCTCCAGATGGTTGTCTGAGACCTGTCTGACCCACCCTTCTCTGACACTTTGCCACCTGGCCAGTTGGCACGGCCTTGAAGCAGGTGATCCAAACCCAGGACACAATATAAAAACCTGGTGCCCCTGCTGCTGCAGGGCTCTTCCTGCCTGCAGGCCATACCAGCATCCACCTCCAAAGCATTTGGGTTCCCAGACCSTGCAACAACCCAGCTGAGTCTCTCAGGACAAGAACAGGGACAGCCCCACCAGTGCACTGCAGCATTAATCCACACAAACACAACTGAGGTGGCATGGGCAGGCAGAGGAGGGGATGAAAGGGCCATACCTGACGTCCTCTCCATCCTCAAGCATGGACAGACAGATTGTGCATTTCTCGTCGGTATCTGACTCTTCACCATCGTCCTGCTCAGCTTTGCCTTCCTGTGGTCTTCTCTGCAGCAAGGTTAAACACATCATTTGGTTAGGCCTTGCCTTTCTAATGCTCTCCCAAGCCCAGGAAGTTGCGGGAAGATAAATAACAAGATCTCCATCTATCAGCCAGATCCTCCAGCTCAGGAAGCCAGCCCAGCCCAAACAGCCAGCGAGATGAGCGTGCCACCAACATGCTGCTGGTTGGCACATCTGCTCCTGGGGCTGGTGGCAGTGAGGCTGGTGGCAGTGCCCGAGGAGCAGCCTGTCCTCTGCTGCTCCAATGCACTCACCAACCCCTCCTTGCAGTGGGGATGGCCCCATGGTCTTCTTTGCTGAGGGCTTCTCCTTGGGGAGACCCCAAAGCCCATGGTTCCACCACTGCCAGGAAGGGCAGCCGCTGTGCCCCACAGCAGCTTGGCCACTGGCCCAGCCCCAGGCTGCACCAGATGTCAGCTCCCCCTTCTCTTCCCCCACACATCCAGTCCTATCTGTATCATTTTCCTGGGCTCACTGGAGATGCAGTGAGAGGTGAGTGCAGCAGGAGTTACCTCATTTCCAACCTGGGCAGCGCCACATCCCTGCCCTCCAGCTGGAGCRGCCAACACACGGAGTTACTACCCAGACAAGCATCCTTCCCAGATTCTACTTGGCATAACCCAAAAATGCACCACGAGTTTCCTTAGGGGCAGGAGGCCAGCTCTGAAAGAGGAGACACGGGGAGTTCCCCCAGGCCRCACGGGCAGCGCTGCTTGCATGCACAACGGGGCAGGTTTGCATGCACAAAGCCCCCTCGGTGCTGGGCACTTTCTTACCAGGTGCAGACAGGGGGGAAATTGCACCCGCTGGGTGGGAGAAGGTTGAGACCCCTTTGAAAATTTGGCCCGCAGCTTCCTAGCCTAGAAGTGAGAAACAGCCAGCTGAGCTACGCCGCCGCTTCCGCCCCGGGAGCCCCGCAAGAGATTCCGGAACCGCCGTGGGTTTCACGTTCCGTCCCCGCCTCGGGGGATGTTTCCATTGAGGGTGCCAGTCTGACAGCCCTGAGGATTGCAGCCCAGAGTCCTTCCTTCTGCCTGCAGCAGCGATGCCGTGGTTTCGGGGCACTCACCTTCTTGTACTTGTGGGGGAAGGTGAACCTCTCGATGGTGTTCTGGACGGCGCCCCGGCTCACACTGCCCAGCCTGTCCTCCAGCTGCAGCAGCTCCTGTGACATAGGAACATCAGGAAACTGCCATCTCTGCTGCTCCTGAGGCACCAGGTCCCACCACACAACCATACCTGCTGGCAACTGAGGCTCCCTCCTGTCCTCTCCTCAGTGGAAATGTCCATCAAACCCAAACCAGCCATGCTGTCAKGATGGACCTGATCCCTGGCACTTGGGATAATAACTAAGAGCTCGAGGCAAAGAGCTGGATATCCAWAAATTAGGGGGGAATTTGAGCTCTATCTGAGAGTCTGGGAAAATAAACCCCTTAGATCTGGACCATTTTGCTCACAGACATGAAAGGAGCCAGAGTCAACCATGGCCAGGCTTAGGCTTGCTTGTAAACTTTGGAGTAAAGCATCTTTTACCAACTCAACCCCATAACCTCCCAGTTACTACTAAAATTGCTGACAGACTCATTGCAACAGTGACACTACAAAACAGTCTCACAAATTTAAACTGGAGCTTGTGTAAATTCCCACAACCTTAAAAATTAAAAATAAAATTATAAAAACTCCAGGTACGTACTTCATAGCTCTCCCGCACTGCGGATGTGTGCCTGCTTGGGTTCAGCCCCTGAAGAGCAAGCAGCTGAAGCTGAGGGTAAGGGTAATTTCTGATTTCATGTACAACCTGTAAGAAGGGAGAGAGAATAATAAACCCACCCGTGCTTGCCCAAAGAAAACTTGTGTAGCTTGATGCAAATGTAGTACTTTAAAAGTCCAAATTGAAAGAGCAGAATGACACCTTTCCCAATTTAAGCCTTTTGGAAACCAAAAAATTGGGGGTTATCAAATAGATTTCCTATAAGTGATATCTAAGAACTTCTTCCAAATAAACTGTCATAATAATTCCTGTATCATCCATAAATTTGCGATTCCAAACTCCCAACATGGATTAGCTTACAAAGAAATTTTACTGCATTTAAATGGGTGGATTTCTCTTCRTCAAGCTTTGATTGGTTTTCTTTTTTTAAGGCTCTCTATAGTACACAGGTGTCAGGGTCTGACTGCTACGSAGGGGAAGAGCACCTTCATAGCATTTTGAGGATGTTTTAAGGATTAACAGTGCTGGGCATGGCTTAGCTCCAAATACAGCACCATGCTAGGAGATGGGGTAGAACATGACCCCAGTCAGCCTGTCTTCTCACCAAACCCACCTCCACCTGTGCAGGAGGTCATGCAAAACCTTTACAGGGGACATCAAAGCTGATGGAGAGAGCAGGGAAGGCAGGCAGTCACCCACTGACAACTTCTGCACAGAAAAAGTCCTGGGAGACTACAGTCTTAGTGTTCCAGTATTAATGATATTATTAATATTAACTGCTGAGTCTCTCACATCSTGCCCATGTTCTGCAGACCAGCTTGTGAATGTGGTGCTGCAAGCCATGGGCTGAATCCTTCCAGAACAGCTGAGCTTTTCTTTTCTTCCTCTAATCYAGTGCAGTGATGCAACATTATCCTTTCAGACACTCCCTCCCACGGCCGGAGATAAGTGGGATTTGCAGAAGACAGGTGATAGAAAGATAGCAGCCTTTATTTTGACTGCCTTCTGGCAGACAATGCATAAAACATTTCTCAGTAAAAGCGTTTCACTTACCATCTGGGTTGAGGATGTGCTTCTGGGGAAATGGTGCATCCGAGGCGTGGCCAAATAATGCTGATAGGGCTGGGGCACCGGCCGGACCTGGAACTGGGCGTGGGTCAGCCCTGCGTCCACGCTGAGGTCCCTGTGGGCACCAGGAGAAGATGTGGCTCTGAGGGCACAGCTGCACTAATGAACTGCAGCAAACCACACCATGCTCACAGGGCATCCTCCCTGGAGAGGCTGCTGGGGGTTCCTCAGCCCAAGGAGATGCCACTGCTTGGGAGGAAGTTTCCTCCAGGCTGGGGAATCACCCACCAGGCCACCACGAAGGAGGGAGGGGTTGTTTCCGTGCCAGATAGCATTGGAGTTATTTGGGGTTGCAAACTGCACAGATGCACCCAGCTAATTTCAGGGCAAGAGCATTTTGGAGGCTCACACTGATATCCAGGCTCAGCAACTCAGCCTGGTCAGACYGGGACCTTCCTGTGCTGCCAGTGCTGCAAACTACTCCAGCTGCCTTGAACATTTGGAAGGAACACAGGTAATTTCTCAAGGGACTTAGCAGTGAACCAATCTGGTAGTTTTTTAGAAGCTAAGTAGGCACTTTCTGTGGGCTTCTTTGACGTGCCTGTGCTCTCCTTGGAGGAATCCCAGCCCAGATCGTGGTAGGATTGGGTGGTCAAAGGACACCGTGCCTTGCCTGAATCCAGCCTCAGGGTAGTGAGGATGTGAGGGTGGGGAGGTCCTGGCACAGGGTGCCCAGAGCAGCTGTGGCTGCCCCTGGATCCCTGGCAGTGTCCAAGGCCAGGCTGGACATTGGGGCTGGGAGCAGCCTGGGACAGTGGRAGGTGTCCCTGACCCTGGCAGGGGKTGGAACAAGATGATCTTTGAGGTCCCATCCAACCAAAACCATTCTGGCATTGTGGCATTCTATGAACTCCAGAACTGTTATTTGTGCAAAAAATATAAAAGTTTTAAGAAATGCCTGGACAAGACTGCTTAGGAAAGTGTGTCACACAACTGGAGTGCCAGCACCAATGGAGAGGGACAGGCCTGATGGCCCCACCTGCCTGAACACGGCCTGACCCATGTGAGCAGAGATGGAGCTCAGCTTGGTTTATTTGGGCACTTTTATCCCCAAGAAAAATAACCCTGATCAATCCCAGGACCTGTCATGACCAAGATCCCATCAAACATCACAGCTCTGCTCAACCCAACACCCGGAGATAAACAACAGCCCCACCACCATCACTACCACACCATGTGGAGACACGGGAGGGGACCTAAYGCAGCTCCTCCATCTACATCCAATTAGCTGATCCCTGCTCTCTCCAGCCTGAGAGTCACTCTGCAAACAAGTGCTTTGAACATCATTCACTTTGTCATCGTTACAAAATCCAGTGCTCTAACAACCATTGTCTTCGCATTTGCCAGAGCAGAGCTAATTAGAGCACAAGGGTGGCTTCCTGTTTCAGCCTCCAACTCCTCCTCCCCTGCACAGAGGACAGCAACAGTGCTTTCTATGGCTTGTTAGGAGCAGCCCAGAAGTGTCCTCCAGCAGCTGTGAAACTGCTTTCACCCACCAGAAGATGGGGACATGAGGGGACAGCAGATGAGGAAATCCTTCATCCAGAACAGCCTGTGCACCAGGCAGCAGCACCAGTGCTCTAAAAATCTCCAACAAGGCACCCTGCACCAAGCTGGTGATGATCCTCATGAGTGCCTTCCAGCCCAGGATATTCTGTGRTTCTGTAATCCTAAACTGAGGCCAAGGGAGGGACTGCCCCTGCTGGGCCTGTGTTAGCCAAGTGGTAGACAGACAAAMCCTGGCAGAGGATAAAACACAGCAGGCAACTGGCAGGGACACAGCTAGCATGAGAATCCACACGTCTGGGCACTTTGCAGCTCCTGTGTCACAATTTTGGATATTTACCCAATTGATTAAGATTGTTCCCAGGTTGATGGAGGGCTCAACTGGAAATTGGGAGGCTTTGGGTCCATCCCCAGCCCTGCCACTTTCTTGATGTGTGACCTTGATCCACTTCCTCTCTGCCCTCCCATTTCCCTGTCTACAAAACAGATGTGGAAATTCATGGAGCCCTCTCACATCAAGGACTGAAAAGATGTCTCCAAGGGGAATGGCCATTATTAAATTGCACAACTAATTGCAATAACAGCACTGCTGAACTGTTTGTGCATCTAGAGACTTAAAATCAGGTGTTGAGAGTCCTGAAATTATGCTGTGGGTCCAGGGGAGGATCCAAAGCAAAATACTGCACAGAACAGGTTTTCCCATGGTTTGGGGAAAATAAGCAGACTACACTAGCTGAAGGAGAGCAGAACTAACCAYTGCTTTCCAGCCTGTGCTACATGAAGGACTCTAGAGCATCTTGATGCTCAGGTGAGAGGTTCAAGAGCTGTGATGCACGTGGTGAATGGGCTGCCAACAGCCAAAGAGTGAGGGGTAAGACTGCAGACAACAGGTTGCATGGTCGCCACTACATGTGCRTGCAGAAAATTATTTAAGGCACCAAATGGGAGTTAATTTATTCTTCCCCAGAAAATTTTAATTGGGGTTGAGCTGTCTGAGACGACTGATCTCCCTCAGATCTTCCTTCCATCCCCACTTCCACCTCCTGTGTCAGGGCCCACCACCTACTGCCTCCGAGAAAATGCTRCTGCCGCTCATCCCGGGGTAACACATTCCAGGGGAGTTTTTATATTTGTCACTGGGCAAAACTCTGTGTGTGCCCCAAGGGAAAGTGAATCACCCAAACATATGCCCACCGCAGATGATTTCTGTCACCCCCACTTCTCGGGTTTTATAAGGCTATGGAGCAACAGAGGGGAGAAAAGGAGGGAGGAGGAGGGCACTTAGTGATGCTTTATCAGATACTTCTAATGATTATAATTAAGCACTCGGAGCTGAAAGAGAGGCAGAAAGAATCGCTCTATCCAGATGGTACATGAGCTGCTTTGCAAACCAATCTGAACAATGTCATCCCGACCACATTCAGCCCACAGGAGTGSCAGTAATGGGAACACCTGAGAAGAAAATTGCAGAAGGATGTGGTCATATTTTAGATTGTGTATTATGCACCGAAGGGGGATAAAAACAACAACCCTGGGTTAAAAAGGACTTTTCATTTGCAGAGTGAAGTGCTCAGATGTTAGGAAATGCCATCATTAAGATTTCCTATGCCATTTTATTTCAGTCCCCTTGCGCAAATACATTGCGATTGTCTCTAATTACAAGTTCACAAGCTATTTTTTTTTTCCATTTAGTGCACAGAATGGACTTCGCTCAGCTTACAGGCAGCTACCCAGAAGCATGTTTTTATTTTCTCATTCTTTCAAYCAGGTTACCATACTTTATTAACTGTTTGAGAGCTCTCAACCAGCTCTGAAAATGAAATGAACAATTCCCTGCAAAGCTYTTCCAGGGTATTGAACACCACAGTTTGGAGAATGATGAACAAATCTTCATTCATACCACCCTGCATGGCAGGGCAACATGGTGCCCCCTAATTTGGACCAAAACAAAAAAATTATGGCCACTGGTTCTTGAGTGCCTGAAGAACAACAGAAGGTCTAGTTCAGGAAGGGACAGTGATCTACAGGACAAAAYCCTGTCTGTGCTCTGCAGCACGAAGAACCACTTTAGAAAATTGAGGCTCGGCTTCACTCTAAATCTGAGGGTGAAAAGTTATGAGCMACAAAAACGCAGAGTGCCAAAAGAACAACAGAACTGGCAAAAAGTCTGAAACACAATTCTGATGGGAAGTGGCTGAGGGAGCTGGGAAAGGGGCTCAGCCTGGAGCAAAGGAGGCTCTGGGGGGACCTTGTGGCTCTGCACAACTCCCTGACAGGAGGGGGCAGCCGGGGGGGTCGGGCTCTGCTCCAGGGAACAGGGACAGGAGGAGAGGGAACRGCCTCAGGCTGGGCCAGGGGAGGTTTAGATTGGATATTGAGGAAGATTGCCTCCCAGAAAAGGTTGTTCAGCCTGGCACAGCTGTCCAGGGCAGTCCAGGGCTGGAGTCCCCATTCCTGGAGGGATTTAAAATCCGTATGGAGGTGGCACATGAGGACATGGATCTGTGCTGGCCTTGGATGTGCTGGGATAATGGTTGGACTCCATGATCTTAGARGGCTCTTCCAACYCAAATGAYTCYGTGATTCTGTTTGTACAGGAGGCTTTCACACTCTCACAGCCCTCTCAGAGATGAGTTTTCCCACACTATAACTGACTCTTTCTCTTCCTTTAAAGCCACAATCCCTGATGGCATTCCCCAGCCCTTGCAGCCTTYCCAGGACTTTTCAAACACCTCATTGGAAATTGCAGTGAAATRGGGATCACTTACCAGTCCGTGCCCTCTGCCAGATACCTGGGCTGGGGCCCCATGGGTTGTGGAGTCTGCAGTTGGTGGCTGAAGTCGAAGCTGGGGTGGAGGCGGTGGGGCTGGACAGACATGCGCTCTTGGGCCCGCCTGTGGGAYGAGAGCAGCAGCACGGTCAGACATGGTGCACACTGGAATTCCTGAAGAGAAACCATGGGAAAAAACAGGGGCTGGGCTTGTGAATGAGTGCCCAAAACTAAACACTGCAGGCAGGTGTAGGGGGTGATGGGAAGAGACCCAGGGCTGTATCTTTTTCTCATGGTCACCACGCAGCAATCCACTCCCACACCCCGTGGCACCCACTTGTGCTCAGTTTGCAGGAGATGCTATTTGCTGGCAGCAGAGAGAAAAAGAGGAAACCAAACCACTTCTGAGCAGCTTCGTGCAGTATTCACTATTTTCTTTTTCACCACAGTCAGCCCYATAAACAACACACAAGATAAAACGYGCCCCTGCTTCAGCTGTGATCCATCAYCGGAAAGAAGCTGCGGGTTGTCTTGTCTCCCATGCAGTCCATAAACTCCTGGGGAGCTTAAACTCTCCTCATTCATAACCAGATTACTCAGGAGTGACTGAAAGCAGAATTTACTCTCACTGGCCTTTTCCAGCATTTCTTTGGATGATGGACAAGCCAGGCTGGCTTCCAGCTCCTTCTCCTCTGCTCTGCTGCCATCGCAGACAGGCAAAAGAAAGTGGTAGAAAATAAAACAAGGTTTTTCTAGAGATTTGAGTCCCATGGTTATTGTTTATTTGAACTACCCAGGGGAAGAGCGTGTGCCTCTTGATCAGTGTCCACATTTGGCAAGAGACAAGGTGGATTTGCATTACAGACAGACTCATACCCTTCGCTTCCTAATGAGTTACCATTTACCAGTGGGGCCACCACAAAGAACACCTTCAGAAAAAAAACAGGGCAAATGCTAGGTAAATAACTTCTCATGCAGCCACAATTCAGGGGATTCACTTTCAAAGACATAACCCATATTCCTATCACTGGGACCTCCTGCCCCACACCTGTGAGAGTTCTGACATCCTTCTCCATTGCAGGTTTCAAAGACAAATTGTGGGACTGGGCAAGTGGTTCCTGCCTTTTTCCACACCACAGCACCACTTGCAAATACAACACTGACAGCATTTGCCAAAGCAGACTCTGTGTAGAATTGTGCTCTGTGCTTTTATTTGAATTCAGCTTATGACTAAGAGATAAACACTTGTATCATCAGTTCCTCAGCCTTGAGCACACTTGCTACCCAATTATTAGCTAATCATTAAATCCACCTGAAATCCAGCTTATGCAAAACAAAACAGCGAYGAGAAGAACAACAATTTTCAGACAGAAAGGGCATGGAAAGCAAGGGTTTTTTATCTGTGGCATTCTTGCCAAATGAAGTATCAGTGCAAAGACTCATCCTCCGATTCTTGATCCATGGGTAAAAGCCCACAAATAGCTTCCACATGTTTCCAAAAAAAATCACTTCTCTCTCAGGAAACACAATCAAGACAAGGCCAGGCATCCATTTCCATCTCTGTTGAGTCACAGTAATTCTCTCTGCATTTGGTGGATTTAGGA